TAAGTAATTCTCGTGTGACGTTTCTGCTTAATAGATAATGCATAATAAATACTGGGAATTAACTTCCGTTCTTTCAGTTCCTATCCTAGAAACAAAACTGTACTACTTGATCCAATGTTTAATTTGATTAGGATGAAAAGTGGATAAACTAGAAAATCCAAAGTAAATAGAGGCAGGGAATATTGCCTTTTTCAGTTAGATTTTTAAAAGGATGAACTCAAGGTGGCTTGACCAAAATATGTAATTCTGCCAAAATAATATTCAAGATTTAATATACAAATAATATCTGATTTATACACACAATATAGCTTTCAAAAGAAAATGTTCAATTGACTTCAAATTAGGATGTAGTCTAGAAGGCAAGGTTCAACTTATTGTCTCATGCTCTTCTTTTCATCTCCACCTATCTTCAAGTTTATGTTGGACTTTAAGCCATTGGGCTTTAAAGTAGAAGAAGTGTGAATTGGAAATGGAGGGAAATAAAATGGAGGGAAATCGAAAATTTGAAGAAGTAAACTTTTGTCTTGCACTTTGTCCCTCATTGGTGAGGGACAACCATATTTATGTGCTTATATATAGAATCACTTCTTAAAGCTCTTAAAAGGAATTGAAGAGAATGAACCCTCGCGCCGTCGTCGTCGCTCGCTCGGCTCGGCTCCGGATTCGGATTTGTCAAATGACCGATAAGATTATTTTTGGACAAAATTTATTTAATTATTTAATAATTAATTAAATGCCAAATCACTGCTGAAAATACGCCAGAACCCTGCTGAAGGTTCAGAAGGCCTCTCTGGCCGCGGTTCTGCCGCGACCGCGGTAGAACCGCGGCAGGCAGGTTCAGAAAGCCTCTCTGACCGCGGTTCTGCCGCGATCGCGGTAGAACCGTGGCAGGCAGCGTATTCTTCTGAAAAGGCACCTTTTCCAGACACCTCTTCTGATAATTGCCTATAAATTCTGAGGCAAGGCTCCATTTTCTACACACGAAAAATACTCCAGAACTTCTTTCTTTCTGAATATACTGCATTCTAATTCGCAGTCTCTCTCTCTCAAATTCGTAAGTGTGATTTTGCTCCGTTCTTTAACTTCGTTGGTATCCTGCAGTTTGTATTGCCACTGTTGCAGGAAGGTTTATTCCATTTTATCCTGGGAGGATTTAATCCATTACCTTGGCAACGTGTGAGGGGGTTAAAATTCCTTAAGGACACACAAGCAAATTGTGGACTCGGAATATTTCTTAAACTCTTCTGTTTTTCCAGTTTCTTTTTCTAACAGTTTTTTTCCTAATTTTGTGTTTAACACAGTAACGCTCACAAGCTTAACGAATTTTAAATACTAACGTTTCTGTGTTGAAACATATATTAAACTGTTATTCATATTTTGTATACTGTTTTGGAGACTAAAGCCTTGTTGCTTTCTACTCTAATAATTCTTTCTGTCCGGTTTAAAGTACATAAAAACTTTGCCGGATAATAAACGTACGGGTTTGAAGTATATAAAAACTTCACCATTGTTACGTGTTGTATGTTTGGTTTGATATTCAGTTTGAAGATATCAAAACTTCACCGATTAACAAAGTTATGTATTGTTTTCAACTTTACAGAAATATGACGAATGAAAACCAAACTAATGGAAGTGTTGCGGGAACGGGTGCTACTGTTACGAGTGCTGCTGCCTCGTCAAGCCGTTCTACTCCTGCTCATGCTATGGCACCGGCAGAAAAACCCGGAAAGTTTTCCGGTATTGACTTCAAACGCTGGCAAATGAAGATGCTCTTCTATCTTACTACGTTGAGTTTGCAACGTTTCATCAAGGAGGATCCTCCGGTCATGCTGAAAATACTCCGGATGATGAACGGCTTGTTGTAACTGAAGCATGGAAACATTCTGATTTCCTGTGCAAAAATTACATTTTGAGCTGTTTGGAAGATGGCTTGTACAATGTCTATAGTGTCATGGAAGTCGTTTTGACTTTTGGCAGGTCACTTCACTTTCCTTTTTTATATGGAAAAATAGTTTCAAAGAATTCAGCATTATCTGATTCTATTATCGTATTAATGTGAATCTCAGGATTTTCTGATTTATGAACCAGAAAACGATATGCCTTGCTATTGGTTACATATCCAATAAACACACAATCAACCGTGAAGTGACCTGCCAAAAGTCAAAACGACTTTAATACGATAATAGAATCAGATAATGCTGAATTCTTTGAAACTATTTTTCCATATAAAAAGGAAAGTGAAGTGACCCGCCAAAAGTCAAAACGACTTCCATGACACTATAGACATTGTACAAGCCATCTTTCAAACAACTCAAAATGTAATTTTTGCACAGGAAATCAGAATGTTTCCATGCTTCAGTTACAACAAGTCGTTCATCATCCGGAGTATCTTCAGCCATGACCGGAGGATCCTCCTTGATGAAACATTGCAAACTCAACGTAGTAAGATAGAAGAGCATCTTCATTTGCCAGCGTTTGAAGTCAATACCGGAAAACTTTTCGGGTTTTTCTGCCGGTGCCATAGCATGAGCAGGAGTAGAACGGCTTGACGAGGCAGCAGCACTCGTAACAGTAGCACCCGTTCCCGCAACACTTCCATTAGTTTGGTTTTCATTCGTCATATTTCTGTAAAGTTGAAAACAATACAGAACTTTGTTAAATCAGTGAAGTTTTGATATCTTCAAACTGAATATCAAACCAAACATACAACACGTAACAATGGTGAAGTTTTTATATACTTCAAACCCATACGTTTATTATCCGACAAAGTTTTTATGTACTTTAAACCAGACAGAAAGAATTATTGGAGTAGAAAGCAACAAGGCTTTAGTCTCTAAAACAGTATACAAAATATGAATAACAGTTTAATATATGTTTCAACACAGAAACGTTAGTATTTAAAATTCCTTTAAGCTTGTGAGCGTTACTGTGTTAAACACAAAATCAGAAAAAAACTGTTAGAAAAAGAAACTGGAAAAACAGAAGAGTTTAAGAAATATTCCGAGTCCACAATTTGCTTGTGTGTCCTTAAGGAATTTTAACCCCCTCACACGTTGCCAATGTAATGGATTAAATCCTCCCAGAATAAAACGGAATAAACCTTCCTGCAACAGTGGCAATACAAACTGCAGGATACCAACGAACTTAAAGAACGGAGCAAAATCACACTTACGAATTTGAGAGAGAGAGAGACTGCGAATTAAAATGCAGTATATTCAGAAAGAAAGAAGTTCTGGAGTGTTTTTCGTGTGTAGAAAATGGAGCCTTGCCTCATAATTTATAGGCAATTATCAGAAGAGGTGTCTGGAAAAGGTGCTTTTTCAGAAGAATACGCTGCCTGCCGCGGTTCTACCGCGGTCAGAGAGGCCCTCTGAACCTTCAGCAGGGTTCTGGCGTATTTTCAGCAGTGATTTGGCATTTAATTAAATTTTGTCCAAAAATAATCTTATCGATCATTTGACGAATCCGAATCCGGAGCCGAGCCGAGCGAGCGACGACGACGGCGTGAGGGTTAATTCTCTTCAACTCCTTTTAAGAGCTTTAAGAAGTGATTCTATATATAAGCACACAAATGTGGTTGTCCCTCACCAATAAGGGACAAAGTGCAAGACAAAAGTTTACTTCTTCAAATTTTCGATTTCCCTCCATTTTATTTTCCTCCATTTCCAATTCACACTTCTTTTACTTTAAAGCCCAATGGCTTAAAGTCCAACAGTTTATGAGTTCACCAAAAAAGTTATAGTGAATTCTTTTTTTTTTTTTTTTTTTTTTTTTTTTTTTTACAATAGTTTATTTTAAATGCTTATCAGTTTTATTTTATTTTTGAGTTTTGGTAAGTCCAAACCGTCAATTTGAAGTACTATTACCAATTTTTATATAAATTATTCTTTCTATAAAAATATGAGACGGGCCATGTATGATAGTATCTGCTAAACTATAGCTACAGAAAATTTAGAAATGCTTAGATAGGAGAATAGATTGACAATGAAACATCAACAGAAAAGTTTTCAAGTAAAATGTTAGAAAATATAGGCGAAACCAGGATTTCAATCTTATGAGTTCAAGATTTTAGAATGACGACTACTTGTGTTAGTGATTGGATTTTAAATTTAATATTTATACGTATTTAATGAATTCTAGACACCAAATACGCAGGGGCGGATTTATAAGCAACATTATGGGGTACGTGAACTCATGGTCTGTCCGCAAAATCAAATATTTTATGTACATATTTTCTAAAATTGATATAATATTAACTGTTGGCACTCATTCTACAAGTAGGTTGAATGGTGCACTTGGTTGAAGTTGAGTTATTTACCAAGAGAAATTGATGATCAATTATCACTTAATACATTTTTTTTTTAGTAGTGCACCCATTGTACTATAAATCTTAGATCCGCCTCTATAAATACTTAAATAAAAGCTATTGAGTTCGACCGAACTCGTAGCCCGACTGGTGCCTCCAATAGAATAGTAAAACATGAAGGTGACAACTCAAACTTTTGAGAGAGATAGCTTTCATTCTTTTATGTCAAGCAAAGCTGCCTAATGCAAAATACTCTCACAAAGTTGGCCATCTTATTCTTATATGACAACGACGTAAACAGCTAACTACTCTCTTTTCTTTAATTAGTTAATTTACTTACTTAGTAAAATAAATAATGATTTACCAAAAAAATGTCGAAGAAGGTAAAAAGTGCATAAGGTTTACACAAAAGAATTAAATAATCATATCACATGACGGTCATTATTTTGTTTAGTCAAACTAGTTAATTAATCACCTTTTTCTGCCGACAAAAGGGTCTGAAAAGTCACCACCTAAAGTTAACTAATCAATGATAATATCACATGATTCAGTGGATGTAAACCAAAAAAACCAACACGGTTTTTGCACCAACTTAGTACACAAGAGACAAACAATTAAAATAATAACGGAAATTTGTACCATTAAAGTGTTTATGGAAAATGTAAAGAGGAAGAGGGCACAGAGAACCTCGAGCTCAAGCTTGAGCTCCCATGGTGAAACTCCAGAAGCTTCGAGAGAGAAAAGTCTGAGAAAAAACAATTTTAGAAATAAAATGTGCAATCTTATTAGTTCAGTAAATGGGTACATATATACACTTGTAGGGTCCTCCACTTATAACATGTAGCAAGCTAACTAATTGCCAACTAATTGACAGCTAAGCTAAGCTAACAGTAAAGTAAAAACATAAATATACATAGCTCAATACCCCCCCCCCCCCCCCAAAGTTGGAGGTGAGGTCTTCACAACCAACTTGCTTAAAACAGTGGAATGTTTGATGCCAGTGAGGGCCTTGGTGAGAAAGTTTGCCACCTGGTTATGTGTGCCAATGTGATGCAATGATATGAGACCTTCTCGAAGTTTATCCCTCACAAAGTGACAATCAACCTCGATGTGTTTGGTCCGCTCATGAAACACAGGGTTACTAGCAATGTGTAAAGCGGATTGGCTGTCACAATACACACTCACAGGTGTAGGATTCACAATACACACTCACAGGTGTAGAAAAGGGAACAGTCAGCTCCTCAAACAATCTGCATAACCAAGTTAGTTCTCCAACTACCTTTCTAAGGGACCTATATTCAGCTTCAGCGGAGGAAAGAGAAATGGTTTCTTTCTTCGTAGACTTCCAACTAATAGGACTAGTACCTTGAAGCACCAAGTAACCACTGACTGACCTCCTGCAATCTGGGCAGGCAGCCCAGTCAGAGTCACAATACCCTTTAATGGTACAATCAGGATTATTAGACATAAAAATACCAAGTGTGGGATCACCCTTGAGGTACCTAAGCAAGTGAAGTGCAGCCTGTAAGTGGGGCTCTCGAGGATCCTGCATAAATTGGTTCAAGTGTTAGACACCAAAGGCAATGTCCAACCTTGTGTTGGTAAGGAAGTTAAGCTTGCATATTAGTTTTCTGTAATAAGTAGGGTCTGAGAGAACAACTCCCTCTTTAGCTTTTAGTTTGACATTGGGATCAAGAGGAGAAGCAAGATTAGTGTAATGGAGACAGTCAAACTCCTTCAGAAGATCCAGTGCAAATTTTCTCTGGGAGATGATAACCCCATCTTCTTTGTAAAGGACCTCTAAACTAAGAAAGTAGTGAAGTCTGCCTAGGTCCTTAATCTTGAATTGGTCATGTAAGAACGTTTTCAACTCAGTGATCTCTGTAGAACTGGTCCCAGTAATAATGACATCATCAACATGTACAACAACAAAAATTATGGAAGAAGGTGATTTCTTGTAGAAGAGAGAATAATCATGCAAGGAATGAACATAACCTTTGGAATATAGAGCAGTTGCCATATTTGCATACCATTGTCTACTAGCCTATTTTAGGCCATAAAGAGATTCTCTTAACTTGCAGATAACTCCAGGTGTATCTACTACCAGACCAGGTGATAATTGCATATATACCTCTTCCTCCAAATCACCATGGAGGAAGGTATTATTCACATCAAGCTGGAAGTGTCCCGGTGTTTCTTAACTGCAGTGGCTATAAGTGATCTAACTGTAGTGATTTTACAACAGGGGAATAGGTTCTGTGTAGTCAATCCCAGCCTACTGGGTATAGCCCTTGACAACTAACCTAGCCTTGAAGCTCTCTATGCTCCCAGTAGCCCTGTGTTTAACCTTGTAGACCCATATACAGCCTATTGCTTTCTTACCAGAAGGTAAAGGAACCAGGTCCTAAATGTTATTTGCATGTAAGGCCCCAAACTCTAAAGACATAGCCTCTTGCCAAGCAAGGTGCAAGACTGCCTCTTCATAAGAAGAATGCTCACTATCATGACAAACAGTTTGCACAAGTTGTTGACTATCTGGGAGTAAAGAAGTAAGAGACACATGGTGATGATTTGAGAACAAAGCACTAAGAGACAGAGGAGAGTCAGTAGAGACAGGAGGTTTTAAGTTTGGAAGGGAGCATACATAATCCTCCAATTAAACAGGTAACTTATGAGGTCTAGAGGACTTCCTAGTAGCTATAGGAGGCGAAATGGGATGAGGAGTAGAAGAAGAAGGTAATGAAGTGGAGGAAACAAATGAGGATGGTATGTTGGATGAGGAAAGATGGGTTGTAGACTTATCAGGATTGCTACAATGAGAGGGCAAGTCATCAACAAAAGGAACAGATTGAAAGACAGAAGAAAAAGGTGCAGAATCAGGAAAAGAGCAAAGGGAAATACATTCTCATGAAACACTACATATCTGGAAACAGAGATTTTCTTGGTGAGTAGACTAAGGACCTTGTACCCTTTTGTATCATAGGGGTAACCTAAAAAACATGGGGTGTTTCTCTTGGTTCAAATTTGGTTCTGTGAGGCTTAGGAGTGTTAAGGAAACACAAACAACCAAAACTTCTAAGGTGAGAGTAAGTAGCCACCCTTTTGTATGGGCATACAAAAGGAGTTCTATTTTTGAGATGGCTAGTATGTAGTCTATTGATAATGTGGGTGGCAGTTAATATGCATTCTCCCCAATATTTGAGGGGTAGTTTGGATTGGAACAAGAATGCCTTGGCAGTTTCAAGGAAGTACTTATGTTTCCTTTCCACCACTCCATTCTATTGAGGTGTATAAGGGCATGTTTTCTGATGAATAATTCCCTTGGAATGAAAGAAATGAGTGGACTCAGTGCTAGTAAACTCTAGGCCATTGTCTGACCTAATACACTTGATTTTAGTTTGAAATTGGGTACTGACCATAGACACAAAAGCTTTAATGATCTATAAAGCATTGCTTTTGGAGCTCAAGAGGTATGTCCAGGTACACCTACTATAATCATCCACTAAGGTAATGAAGTATTTAAAGTTGTCATGAGTAGGTTCGTGATAAGATCCCCACAGAGCAACATGTAGGAGATCAAAGATGTTACTAGTGGAGCTGGTTTTATGAGGAAAGGGCAGCCTGGATAGTCTGGCCATGGGGAAAATTGAACAAAGAAAAGGTTGTTTTAATGAAAAATGGACTGAAATTGATGGTATACCCCTCATATTCACAAAAGTCACATGTCCCAACCTATTGTGCCATATAAGGTCCACATAATTTGTATTAGGCAAAGCATAATGTGAAGTAGAGCACTGAGTTTTATTGCAATTGGGAGTATTTACAAGAGAACAATGAATGAATGTGAGTGTGTGAATCATTTACAGGTGAGTGAATGTGAGAATGTAAACTATTTACATCACATGAAGTAGTTAAAACGGTGCAAGAATTCAAAGGAGCGGAATTTGAAACAGAAACTGAGTTCTTTAGACACCTGGAGCAGAGGAGATATAATCCATCTTTGATATTACCAATCTCCAGAGACCTCTTCATTGAGGGGGCCTACAGAAGACATGAAGAGCGAGTGAAGGCAGCTAAGCTTTTAAGCTGTGAAGTAAGGCAATGAATGTATATAAGATTATACTTGAAGGAAGGCACATAAAGGACTCTATGCAATACTATCTGATATGCAAGTGTTACAGTTCCAATTTTTGTCACTTTCACTCGATAGCCATTTGGTAAGGTGATTAGCAAAGGATATGAAAGAGTTTTAGTGTGAGATAACATGGATTTGTTAAAGGTCACGTGGTTGGATGCTCCGGAATCTAAAATCCAGAGGTCAGCACTTGGTGTAAATATCTACATGATAGCAAACCAAAATCAATAGACAAGACAAAGCCAGAACAAGCAAATATGCCTACAAAATTGGCATTTCCATTGGTTAAAGCCGGACTGGTAGTGTTCTATCCTCCACCCCAATGTGAAATTGTTGTAGTAGATTGAACAGTTGCCCATATTGTTCCTTAGTCAAATTAAGAGGGGAACTCATGTTGTTGTTGTCACTGCACCCTTGAGAGCTCATCCATCATCCTTAACTGACATGGATTCAACTGGTGCACCATGCACATTGGTAGAAATCCTTTTGCCCTTATTGAACCTAGGATTAAAGTTGTTTTTTTTAGGATAACTATGCAACTTAAAGCACTTATCTTTGGTACGCCCTGGACGCTTGCAGTAATCGCAGAATGGACGAGGCCTGCTATTTGAGTGATTCCCAGTGGAATAATTGGTTTTGAAGTTCTCATTTCTAGATGTATTGACATTCAAAGAAGTAGATTCCATTGTAGGCAAGTTGATATTCCTAGAAGCATTGACATTCATAGATGCAGATTCCATCATAAGCGAGTTATTTGGTCTGCCTTCCCTTTGTTTTTCCTCTTGGATCAGTAGAGAAAATGCTTGAGCCACTGATGGTAATGGATTCGTCATCAGAATACTACCTTGCACAACCGTATATACCTCATTAAGTCCCATCAAAAATTGAATCAGACGCCTGTTTTGTTCGGCCTTATGCATGGACTCTTTGGCTCCACAGGTGAACTGGCAGCTACATTGAGATTTGGCACTCAAATTATTCAATTCTTCCCATAGCCTTTTCATTTTTGTGTAATAACCTGTAACGTTGAGTACTCCTTGAGACAAATAGTTAATTTGGTTCCATTGGTTTGGTCATAGCGATCCTCTAATTCTGTCCATAATTCGGCCGCATCATTTGCATATTCTATGCTATATGCGATATCTTTAGCAACAGAATTTAAGATCCACGAAGTAACCATGTCGTCACAACGCATCCACTGACGAAGAGATGGGGAATCTGGTTCTGGAGGTTTGCACTCACCATTGATGAATCCTAACTTGTTCTTCACTGAAATGGCACGAACACTTCTCCTCCAGGATCGATAACCGATACCGTTGAAAGAAATCGTCACCAACATTGCACCAGGGTTGTTAGAAGGGTGCATGTAAATGAACAATTTGGATCGATATTAGGCTCAGAAATGGGGGTAGAAATAGGACTACTTGAGGTGATGCCGGAATCGTCAGTTTGATCGAGAATAGCCATGTGAGAGTTAATTTGGGAGATGAGAAATGGTCAAAATTGAAAAATTAGGGAAAAATCGAAATTCCCGATTTTGCAATGAAAATCATGATTCAACAGGAATTGAGAAGTAGGATCTGATAGAGCAATGCTCTGATACCATGTAAAGAGGAAGAAGGCACAGAGAACCTCGAGCTCAAGCTTGAGCTCCCATGGTGAAACTCTAGAAGCTTCGAGAGAGAGAAAAGTCTGAGAGAAAAACAATTTTAGAAATGGACTGCGCAATCTTATTAGTTCGGTAAATGAGTATATATACATGTGGGGTCCTCCACTTATAACATGTAACAAGCTAACTAATTGTCAACCAATTGACAACTAAGCTAAGCTAACAATAAGGTAAAATACCTAAATATACATAGCTCAATAGAAAAGAACATGTGATTAGACATGTTACCGTTTCAATTATTAATCATATAATAATAGAGAAAAATAATATTGGAAAGACAGAATATATGGTATGATGTTGTGTAATTCTTTAGGGTCTGTTTGGAAAGCCACCAGCTAATTGGAATTGGTGTAATTACTAGGGTAGTAATTACACAGCCTAGTAAATACATAATTGTGTAATTACAACGACCTGTTTGTTTGTCATAGTGTAATTACAATGTAATTACAAGTTTACCATTTGGTTGCACATGTGTAATTACTTAGTTAGATTAAATTTTAAATGATATAATTATCGAAATAAAAGTTAATATAATAAATATATGCTAATAAATTTTATAAGTATAAATGATATTATATTTGGTATTTATGATGTATATTTGTTCGTGAATATACATTAATTAGTAATCATATATTTATAACTAATATTGTAAAAATAATTTATAGTATATATTTTTCAAATTAATAATATTTAGTTTAGATACTTACAAAAACTAAACGCATACATTCTGTAAGAACATCATGGAATTCATGTTTGATAAAATAAATTAATATTATAAATATAATATCATAACACTATTCAAATGTTTGACAAAACTAAATTATCAATTCTAACTAAAAAATGAACAACATGCAATCTGAGCCAATACTACTAAAACAAGTAAATTAGAACCATGAATATAACATAATTACAAAATCCAAAAAAATATAGTTTAACATATGTCAAATTCCAACATAATAATAGTAAGTTCCACTACAACTTAAGATTCGAAAATATAATAAGTTTATAACAACATTCAACAACAAAATTTCACTTTAATTGAATAATAAAATAAATAAAAAATAAAATATAAGCAATTACATGGAATCACAAGAAATAAAGGTAGAGAAACAAAAGATAAATAATGTACAAAGAAAAATGTATTTTAAATTTTTAAAAGAAATTAAAAAGTAAAAATAAAATTAAAAAATTAAAATAATAGAAATAAAGTTATAAATAAAATAAAATAAAATAAAAATAAAAAGGAAAGAAACTAAAAACCTTGTAATTATACAGTGTAATTACCACCAATTCTCACACCCCCCTTGAGAATTGGAGAGTGTAATTACACCCCTCCAATTACACTAAACTCCATGTTGACCAAGTAATTACTTGGCCAAACAAATATGTCAAACTGTGTCATTACACCCAATTACATCCAAATCCAATTCCTAGGTGGCTTTCCAAACAGAATCTTAGTGAAGAAGTATAAAATGGTTACTCCAATACTTTTCTTTTTAGAAGGTAAGTCGGACTTGACAGACTTGTATATTATGTACGGGGGCGGATCCAGAGAATGAAGACCGGATTAACCGAAACACAGTAGCTTTTGTTCATACCTTGTATATATACTAAGAAATTCATTAAAAATTTATAAATATTATATTGTGAACCCATGAACTATCGTATATTAACTTGAAATCGTTGTAGCGGTGTTCATGGTTCGGTTTGGATCGGTTTTTCCCTTAAAAGAAACCAAACCAAGTAAGTCGGTTTTTCAAATATTAGAACCAAACCAAACCGATTAAGTCGTTTTTTCTCGATTCGATTTATGTCGGGTTTTGTCGGTTTTTCGTTTTTTTTTTTGGTTATTTGTCGGTTTTTTTAAATATAAGACATACACTACCAAACACATATTTCGGCGACCACATTTTTAACGTAACACTATCAAATCAATTGCCCTTTGAGAAATCTATTATTTACCAAGATATATTGATGATAAATGAATCAAATAGTGATGAATAATTTAAGGACTCAATTAAAAATATATTATTTTTAACACGAAATGAATTCTTACACTTAACAAAAGAAAACCATCAATCAAACTAGAATGTAAAGGTAAAGAACTATACTAAAAGTGCAAACTATCAACATTTACCTATTAAATTTTTGAAACTTTGTATAAAAATATACATATATATAGGTGTATAATAAATTTAAAATAGCTATTCCTATAATCGTTTGGTTCGGCTTTTTTCAGTTTTTTCTGATTAAAATCAAAATCAAACCAAATTTGATTGGATTTTAAAATTCAAAACCAAAACCAAACCAAACCAAAAAGTATCGATTTTTTTGGTCGGTTTGGTTTGGTTTTCGATTTGGTTCGGATATTCGGGTTTTTATGAACACCCCTAGTTGTAGGAACCCAAAAATATAAATCCTGGATCTGCCTCTGAAATTATATAGTCCAAAATTTGGCGACTTACCCATTTCCCGTCAACTTCTATTCAGTTGATTAATTATCCTATATATATATATATATATATATATATATATATATATATATATATATATATTCTACTTATTTAGAAGCGGGAGTTGGGCTCTTTGTCGTCCTGCTTCCTGATTTACAATTAGGTCCCTTTTTTTTGCATCAAAAGTAGGGGTATTTAGGTCACTCCGCAGACTTTGTACTTTCTACAACCGCATTTTCTCCTTTTCCCTCTTTCTCGCTCTCTTTCTCCCTTTTTGATATGCGCATTTTTCAGTGACGTGGAAGATAACCCGGCTCTTGCTTTTTCTGCTATTAATTGTTTCTCCATATTTGCAACACCTGCCTTTTGATGGATATCCGATTAGCTGTGGCCACCAATAGTATCTGCAACATCCTCTATTTCGCTTGGGTTTCCTTTTGGTCTTTCTGCTTGCTGGCTGGAACGAGTGAGTAATTCTTGCTTCCTCTTTTATCTCCTCCTTTAGATGTCTGAACTATTCTTGATTATCACAGAATAATTATTCTATGAATAATTTTTAGTTCCTGTAATAGAAGTAGAAAACGTTCACTGATGGTGAGCTTTAGGTTCAGCAATTTTTCTTCTGTCTTAGGAATAAGAGGTGTTCAAATGGAGCGAAGATTCATATAATTGACCCGACCAGCTTGGGAACGAGGATATTTATTTGTTATTGTTGTTGATTAAGGAATAAGAGGTTTTCAAACGGAATGAAGATTCATATAGTCAATCCGACTAGCTTAGGAACGAGGATACTTAGTGTTGTTATTGTTGACTTAAGGAATTAGAATTACGATGTGAGAGCCCAAAGGGAATGAGAAAAAGTGAGAGAGGACTCACAGTCCTAGTTTCATTCATCAAGTACATTAGGAAATCTGGAGGAACATGTTAGGTGGATCTTAATTTATCAATGATGCCTTTTGGTATATTCAATTGCAAAAGAGAGGATTGGCTTAAATGTAAACCTTGGACGTTGTTCCTTTCTTAAAGCAAGGAGATGAATATTAGGAGGATCTGTTGATATCCAATTTTTTCCTCATATATTTTAAAATATGCATACACACTTTCAAAATATTGTACATGCATTTACAAACATGCACAAGTATTTTTATAATTTTTCTACAATTTTTAAAGGCCCTAAATCCATTTATTTCTGCATTTTATACATAAATGTTTAAAACTATCCCTCATATTATTTTATGATGATTTAATCATCTGAATTCATCATTTATGTTCATATGAGTGTTCAAATATTTTAATTGTATTTTTTATAATTATATTTGTATTTTAAAGACTATAATTGCATATTTTGCAAAAACAGCCCCTACATATGCATAACTACGTTATCTATACAAAAAAATGGCGTTTTATATTTTTATAATATTAAGAAATTATTTAAATCACCTCCATGCATGAAAATTATTTTTTATTATTTAATTAGCTATTTTTAAATTATTTTATTTAGTAAAATAGGTATTTAACAAATAGTCCCTAATTTATACCCAAAATCGGATCCCCCCCAATCCAATTTAATTAAACCAAGCCCAAATCTACCCAGCCCAAACCCTAAAGACTTTTACCCGGCCCCAAACCCCTCTAATCTTGACCGTTGATCACAGAGATCAACGGTCACCATTCATTCTTTCCCTTTTTATTCCAAATGACCCAAACCCTAATCATTCTTTTCATTCCGCCGTCACCCGTTTCCCTCACCCCTCCAATTCTCTCTCAACTCACCCTAACCCTAATCGGCGTCATCGGCGAGAACCTCCCTTCTATGGTGTTTCCGTGCATTCTCCGATCACCACCTGTCTCCTATACCCTCTGGCTGTTTGATTTCATGAGTCCTTGAGAAGATCTCATGGAAATCCAACCTGTTCTGGCTTGAAAGTTATTTACCGGCCTGTCTCAGGCCACTTTCGTTTGTGAGTATGGATTTCCTCTTGTTTCTAGTACGAATCCATGAGTTTTTGACCGATTCTCTTCATCTCTACTATTTTCTGAAAACCCTAGTTTCACTACTGTTCGAATCTTCTCAGATCTTTATAGATCTGAAGTGATTCGAGTATTATTGGGTGTTTTCCTTTTTGAATATCTCTTGGTTTAATTAATTGTTTCGACTTCGTTTACTCTTTCTAAAATTAGGGTTCATCCCAGACTTGTCTTCAAAGATTTTTCTAACTTCTCAGTGTTTTTATTAATTGTTTC